TTCTAATGAGACTGCAGTCTGCTGAAAAAGTAAAAAGAGAGATCAGAGCCTACTTGCTAATAATCACACTCTTATCAAACTCATTCTTCATTGTTAAAGTCTCTGACACTGATATCTTTGTCTGCTGAGAAGTTAGTGCTGCAGTATCATAGAGAAGCATGCTACAGAAGAGTATAAGAGATACTGAAAGTATTAACTTATCAACTTATAAAACATCTCAATCATCTACTTCAACTGAAGTGAGATTCTCTTCAATCAGTGATTAATCTCTGCAGTGCTTTCAACAGTGATACTAGCTGATCTCTTCTTAAGATCAGTCATTCTGAGATGTTTTTTCATCTTAAAGATTCATACTTTTGTCTTCTTTTATAGATGAGCAAGAGAAACCTCTTCAGTCTTAATAAAATCTGTCAACACTTGAAGCTCTGAGACTCTCACTCTGTACTACTTAAGTATCTAGACTTCTTATCAGAACTGATATGACATCTTTCTATGAAATAATACTTACAGAGAGGCAGAAGTCATTGTTGCAGATATAATGAAAATAACAGAAGTGAGAGAAGAAGTGAGTACATAAAATTCTCCTCTTCTTCAGCTGCTTAGTGCAGTATAGACAAGTAGCAGTGTCAGCTAGAGACTGCACTGAAGCCTTCTTACAGAGAGAAGATGAAGAAACTGTGAGACTCTGTGAACTCAACTCAGCAGTATTCTGAGCAGGGCTCAGACATGCTGCAGAAGAGAAACTACAGATTAAGCTTCTCAGAGTCACTATCTCTGAAATCAAGCTCTTCTCAGGTTTCTCTCTGAATAATCACACAGAGTCATATGCCACTGTATTGACTGAGAGAGGAGGCAGCGTCACAACAGCAGTGAAGAGGACAGAGAACAGATCAGACACAGACAAACTGACTGATAGAAGAGATGACATCTCACTACAAGGCACAGTGACTATCACCACAGCTGTAAAAGAAGCAGGAGAAGAAGAAGATATAATAATAAGAGTGATGCTCTCACAGCTCATTGACACTGCTATCTCTGCCTTCAACCTGACTTTCTTGACAGTCATGAAGGCCGCTGCTACACCATGAAGACATTTACTTACTAGAAAATGTCAGAATAAGCTCTTGATTGTTCTTCAAGAATGATACTCTTATACACTCACTGTTACAATTGAAGAGAGAAAAGAAAAATGTTTTATAGAAGAAAGAGATCTTTTTGAAAAATCCTGTCACTACTGTTAGCTTTGTCTCTAAAAATACATCACTTTTGCAGAAACTTTCATATATAGAATGAAATATATTGAGAGATCTGTAAGTCACTTATTAACTATGTTTTCTACATTTTAAATTGATATATAAGGAACTTACTTATCATGTGTTTGATTTGAACAAAGATGAGAAAAGAAAGATCTACACAGTCAGCAGAAAAACTCATCTATTTCTTTATATTATATACAGCATATGCACTGTTAATCAGTTGACAACTGTTACTATATAATAAAGATAATTTCTAATTCAGTAATCTTGAGAACATAGAGACTATACTTTTAAAGAGAAGAGTATTATCATACTCTCAGCTATGTCAAGACTCTGTTACAGTTTCACACAGCTTATTACTTCTATGTGAATAATTTCATTCTGTCTGAACTGGTTTTCAACTGCTCTATAACATTATTCAGATATATCATAGAAAGATCTGATTGATAAATATAAGAACTCTGCTTCTATACAAGATCAGCAGATTACTTTTCCTTGACAGTGAGACATCACTGAGATATCACTCTGACTATTCTCACTTATGAAATGAGAGAAGGTATTCACTCATTGTCTATATAGAATAGCTAGATGCTGACTTCTTATAAAAGAAGTCAGTGATTTGTTTCTTTTACTATGAAAGAAATATATACAAGAGTTACTGTATGTCTTATACAATCTTCTTAGTATACTAAGTATCATATCTGTGATATTCTTGCAATAACTCTGTAGTCTATGAGCTCACTATTTAAGCAAGATAGTTAAGCTCACTTATACAGCTTCTCAAACAACTATCTCTACATGACACCGCTGACTAGCTACTGCTTCGGTTCCGCCATGTTACACATTCTTTGAGATCTTATCTGCAAGAATGAGATATCTATCTGATATGTTTTATCTGCTGAGAACACGGTAGATGAGCTTACTAAACCACTTAAAATGTTGAAATATATGCATTGAAAAGAGAATATAAAGAAGATAGAGAAATAGAGAAATAAAAAATGATATATATCATAACTGATTTTTCATTACTTCATATTTTCCAGTCATTTTTTGTACCTGTACTTGATTTGAAGGCGAATTTTATATATAGCATTGTGTATAGTTACTCTGGTGAGTGAGGGTGTCAGGTCACATGATCTGGCTTACTAATCCTTCCACTATATAACTTTCCACAAAGCTAGCAACCTTTCAATCACACAAGTTTTACACCTTTCACAATATCAGCACAAAGTGTAGTTATAGTACATTACTCTGAGTTTCACTTACCACTGAGACAATTTCATATTTATGTAGACTTTCCCGAGCTTCCAGGTGCAGCTCTCCTGGCGCTAGAATTCATTTTCGTAGAGGATTTATGCGAATGGGGAACAGCAAAAGACAAAAAGGATGTATGTCCCTGTCCTGTCCTTGTTATGTTTATGTTGTTGTTGGTCTTTGGCTGCAAGGTTCCGATGTTCAACGCTAATTCCCTTTTGATCTAGCTAGCTACATGGTCCGTGCCCTCCGCGGGGTTTCTGCACCGTCATGTGACCTCGCGGCCTGAGCTCTTGTCGGTCGGTTGGGTCCGATGCCATTTTGCTGCTTCCTTTGCATATCTCGTTAATATTCTCTCTTGACTCCCTTTAGCTGCGGCGTCGGGCAACGCTTGTGCCCTGTTCGCATACAGCCCGCTACTTTACCTCTCCTGTTTTGTGTGTTTCTTGTTTATCTTGCGCGTTTGTGCCATTTTCACAAAATCGATCTGTGCGGCGGCGTTTCTTGGGATAGAGGGAGGTAAACCGGCATCATGGCGCGAGTCTATGCAGATGTGAATCAGCAAATGCCCAAGTCCTATTGGGACTATGACAGTGTAAACATATCCTGGGGTGTGTTGGAGAACTATGAGGTTGTGAGGAAAATTGGTATGTCCAATCCAAAGAAAAATCGCTGGTGCGCGGGGTCTGTGGTCGGCAGACTACGGAAAATGGGGAATGCTTCTTTCAGCAGTATAAATATATATATATATATATATATGCATGTATATATGGCACGCGGCTAACGTTGGGATTTTGCCTATTGAATAGGGCGCGGGAAATACTCGGAGGTTTTCGAGGGGATAAATGTGGTAAATTACCAAAAATGCGTCATCAAAGTGCTGAAGCCGGTGAAGAAGAAGAAGATCAAGAGAGAGATCAAGATCCTGCAGAATCTGTCTGGTGGGCCCAATGTCATACCTCTATTAGATGTCGTCCGCGACAGCCAGAGCAAAACCCCTAGCTTGGTTTTCGAATACGTCAACAACACCGACTTTCGAACGTTATACCCTCGATTTGTCGATTACGACGTGAGGTACTATATCTTTGAGCTATTGAAGGCTCTGGACTTTTGCCACAGCAAGGGCATAATGCATCGAGATGTGAAGCCCCACAACGTCATGATAGATCACGAACGTCGAAAAGTATGTCTCAGTTTCTGTCCCCCATGTCTCGATGAAATACCTCAATCCGTTATGCTAATTTCTTCCTTCCGTGATGCAGCTTCGGCTCATAGACTGGGGTTTGGCTGAGTTCTACCATCAGGGAATGGAATATAATGTCCGCGTCGCATCGAGATATTTCAAAGGACCCGAACTGCTCGTAGATTTTCAGGAATACGATTATTCGCTCGACATGTGGTCATTAGGGGCTATGTTTGCGTCGATGATATTCCGAAAAGAGCCTTTCTTCCATGGCAACAGCAACTCAGACCAATTGGTCAAAATCGCAAAAGTCTTGGGTACCGATGAGCTATTCGAATACCTCGACAAGTATGACATAGAGCTTGATCCTCAGTACGACGAAATTCTTTCGCGCTTCCCCAAAAAGAGCTGGCATTCTTTTGTCAATGCCGAAAATCAGAGATTTGTCAGCCCTGAAGCTATAGATTTCCTGGATAAATTGCTCAGATATGACCACGCTGTAAGAAGTATTTTTTTTATTTTTTATTATGTTTTTGAACCTCATGATATTCTCTCGCCATTTGAAGACCAAGGTGAGCTAACCATTTAATCCAGGATCGGCTCACTGCCCAAGAGGCCATGGCACACCCTTACTTCGCTCCTGTCCGAGCTGCCGCAACCCAAGCCCTCCAGAATAGCGGAACTCCTACTCACGCTTGATTCATCTCTCAGTGACTGGCCCGGATGCCCATTCATTCAACATTTTCCGTTACTATTTTTAAAGTCTGTATCTGGCTTCCGATTTTCATATTACGCATCTCTCTCACCTTATTCTCGTACGAAAGAAACCTGTCCTGGAAAGTGGAGCATTTAGCAATAGGTTTATGGCACGTCGTGACGTTACTTACGGACCTTCCAACATGACCATTCAAGGAGTATATGATGAAGAATTACTTTACGAACATTGTCATCTTGAATTTGTTGCATTCTTTCGCCTCTTTTCCTTTACCTTCTTCCTTTTTTATTCAAGTGGGTCTGTTGGATGCCTTTGCCATTTTTTATTCTTCTTCCTTATTTTTCGTTCCGGTTTCCTTTCGCCTTTTAATGTATCACGCGTAGAGAATCAATATGGTTTATTTTATCTCTATCATCCTTTCCCGTCTGACGTATTCTTTTGTAGCCTGTTTCATTCATTAAGAGTTAGCAGGTCATATACTCCGTAGATTTTGTCCACTATAAGACCCTGTGCACGTGACTCAACCAGACTTTTGACTCATCCTAAAAATCATCTGGAGTCCGCAGAAAAACAGTTCAGGAACCAGTAAACTTCTGTGAGTAACGATCGCTCATACTTTAACCATAATCATTTTGGTCCCTCAGAGTGATCGCTAATTAACTCACTGATCAACGTAGTGAATGTTGCCCTTGCGAGAGAAGGAGACAAAGGCGACAGCTCAACTTGGAAACCCCGGCACTACCCCTCTTGAAGCTCCAAGATACTTTTCCGACGAATAGTGACTCCGCGCTTTGCGCGATGGGCAATTGCTCCAACAAGACCAAGACCAAGACAAAATCCAAGATTATTTAGCATGGCGTCGAATCCAGCACAAAATACGCCTGGTAAGCGCTCCATGAGTGATTAAAGAAAATCTTCTCGTTTGAGAGTCAACAGAAACTGATTGTCAGGGCGTTTCCCATTTCACTCTCTAGCTCCGCAGCAAGCAGCCAACCCTACCCCTCCAGCCGAAAATGAAACCGTGAAAAGCGTGGCCATTGGAGCCCCGGGGGCCCAAAAGGAGAAATCTGAAAGAGAACGTATGTCATCCTGTTCATCAAATATGTTGCTCTTCACCTTTTGGTTGCGGGGGTTTGTGAAGCGCATCTCGTTGCGGGGTACATTACTCGTGGAAAGGATAGAAGGTATGTATGGCTAACAGATATTTTGACACATAGTCGAGAAGGAACGGAAAAAGGCGGAGAAGATGAAGAAATTCGCTGAAAAGAAAGCCAAATCTGGCTCCGCCACTCCAACCGCTGCGCCCAAAACGTCTGAGAAGAAACCCAAAGTCGAGAAGGAGAAGAATGCCGACGCATATGATCCCCATACGATCGAGTCTGGGAGGTATGAGTGGTGGGAGAAGCAAGGCTTTTTCAAACCGGAGTTTGGACCGGATGGAAATGTCAAGGAAAAGGGGAAATTCGTCATTCCCATCCCGCCGCCAAACGTTACAGGGGACCTACATATGGGTCACGGTTTGACCAATGCTCTTCAGGATACGATGATCCGCTGGCAGCGGATGAAGGGAAAGACCGTCCTTTGGCTTCCAGGCTACGACCATGCTGGAATATCGACCCAGAGCGTTGTGGAGAAAATTCTGTGGAAGACTGAAGGCAAGAGCCGCCACGATGTGGGAAGGGAGGCTATGACTAACATGATCTGGGACTGGACGCACAAGTATCATGATAGCATTACCACGACCCTGAAAAGGCTAGGAGGTTCCTTCGATTGGACTAGGGAGGCCTTTACTATGGATGAGAACCTGTCTGCTGCAGTGACGGAGACGTTCGTTCGCCTGCATGAGGAAGGGACTATATACCGCGCAAACCGCCTCGTCAACTGGTGTGTGGCCTTGAATACCTCGCTGTCTAACCTTGAGGTGGAAAATAAAGAGCTTGAGGGCCGCACGTTACTCGATGTCCCAGGATATCAGAGGAAGGTGGAGTTTGGTGTCTTGACCCATTTCTTGTACCCGATTGATGGCACGGATGAAACCATCCAGGTTGCAACCACTCGTCCAGAAACCATGCTTGGTGATACTGGGATTGCAGTCCATCCTGATGACAAACGATATCAAAAATACGTAGGCAAATTCGCGAAGCATCCTTTCCTGGATCGATTGCTTCCAATTTTTGCTGACAACCAGGTCGACCCTGAATTCGGTACTGGTGCTGTCAAAATCACCCCGGCCCATGACTTCAACGATTTTATCCGCGGAAAAGATAATAAGCTGGAGTTCATTTCCATTATGAATGACGACGGTACTTTCAATGCCAACGCTGGCCCCTTTGCAGGTGTGAAGCGATTTGACGCAAGATATAAGGTCATTGAAGCACTGAAGGAAAAGGGCCTGTACGTTAAATGGGAGAATAACCCAATGAAGGTACCCATGTGTGCCAAGTCCAACGATGTCATTGAACCGATTTTGAAACCACAGTGGTGGATGAGCATGAAGGATCTCACTGGTCCCGCAATCAAGGCTGTCGAAAGTGGAGAAATAATAATTCGCCCCGAAACCGCCGAGAAGAGCTATTTCCGCTGGATGAATAACATTAATGACTGGTGTCTATCCCGCCAACTTTGGTGGGGTCACCAAGCCCCTGCTTACTTCGTCCAGCTTGAAGGTGAGCATGGCGATGACAGCGACGGCAATCTTTGGGTAGTTGGCCGCACGGAGGTTGAGGCGCAGCAGAAAGCTGAGGCCAAATTCGTTGGGAAAAAATTCACGCTCAAGAGGGATCCTGACGTACTAGATACATGGTTTTCCTCTGGTCTCTGGCCTTTTTCCACCCTGGGTTGGCCCAAGAATACCCCTGATTTTGAGAGGTTGTACCCTACCTCTGTGCTCGAGACTGGTTGGGATATTCTCTTCTTCTGGGTTGCTAGGATGATCATGCTTGGTCTCAAGATGACGGGCAAGGTTCCATTTACCGAAGTGTACTGCCACTCGTTAATTCGAGACTCTGAGGGAAGGAAAATGTCCAAGTCGCTGGGTAACGTGGTAAATCCTATCGATGTTATCGAGGGCATTGAGTTGCAAGTCCTACATGACAAACTGAAGCACGGCAATCTGGCCGAGAAAGAGATCGCTGCGGCCACGAGATATCAAAAGAAGGCGTTCCCCAAGGGTATTCCTGAGTGTGGAACTGATGCTCTTCGATTTGCACTTGTCTCTTATACCACCGGCGGTAAGTTATATTTGCACCACCTTATACTATTACACTAAAAATGACCCTCTAACGTTTTCTTCTACACTTTTAGGCGGTGATATCAATTTTGATATCCAGGTCATCCACGGCTACCGTAGATTCTGCAACAAGATCTATCAAGCTACGAGATACGTTCTCGGTAAGCTAGGCGAAGATTTCAAACCCCAGGCCACTCCCTCCAAAACCGGCAAAGAATCGCTCTCCGAACGCTGGATCCTTCATAAATTCAATAGCGCCGCTAAACTCGCCAACGAGAACCTGGAAAGCCGTGATTTCTCTGTCGCAGCCTCAGTCCTCTACCAATACTGGTATAGCCAGCTTTGTGACGTCTTTATCGAAAATTCTAAATCCCTTCTCCAAGCCGACGTCCCTGCTGAAGTCCAACAGTCTGCCAAGGAGACTCTGTATACCGCTCTCGAGGGCGCATTAACCCTGATTCACCCCATCATGCCATTCGTCACCGAAGAGCTCTGGCAACGTCTCCCCCGCCGCCCTAATGACGACACGCCGTCGATCATGAAAGCAGCGTACCCGGAATACAACCCAGCATTCGACGACGTTGCCGCTGAAACAGCCTACGAGCTCATCCTCGCCACGTCCAAGACAATCCGCAGTATCCTTTCCGAGTACGAGGTCAAGACCAAGAGCGACATCAAAATCCAAACCTACGACGCGACAAGCTACAAGACCGTCTCCGATGAAGTGCACCTCATAAAGTCCCTAGGTGGCAAGTATGTAGGCGAGATTGCTGTTCTCGATCCGGAGAGTCAGACTCCCCCTCCCGGCTGTGTGCCCTCTGTCGTGAGTGCGCAGGCTGCTGTTTACCTCCAGGTCTCTGATGAAGTGCGTTTGGAGCAAGAGGAGAAGGCCAAGGTGAGTCTTGCTAAGGCTCAGGAGGCTGTTAAGAGGCAGTTGGGGATTATGGGGTCAGCTGGGTGGAAGGAGAAGGTCAAGCCAGAAGTTAGAGCGTTGGAAGAGAAAAAGTTGCGGGATGCGGAGATTGAGGCGGCGAGACTTGAGGAGCATATTAAGGGGTTGGAGAAGCTGAAGATTTGAAGATTTGATCTTTACGGACTTTATTTTGATATACGGGTTCTTTTTGTTGGCTTTTTGGTGGATGGATGACGATGGTGCGACACAGTGACATAAAGGTATAAAGAAAGAAAGACGTAGTGTTTGGTAAAATCATATATTGCTTGCTGATTTTCTTCTCTACATCGCTACACCTTATAGGTTGCTGTCTTTATTGTGGTTTCTCTATATGTCGATACATCCAGATTTGCTCTCAGTATACTGCAGCGGCTGTGTATTGTGCCTGGAATATGATATGATCCTCAACTAACTTAATGTATGAAGTACTGTATGCACATGTCCTTGCATTAGCGTACTCTATAAGCTACATCATGCGTGCGTCAAGGTGGAAGGAGTATTCATCCTTTTTGAGCCCCACTCTATATATCCTCACATCATCAACCAACAGACTACATGTATCTAGTTTCCTTTACTCTTCAAACGCCAGAAAGTTGCCATGAATTATCCCCACCCTCTTTCAATCAGCATGTTCCATCTTCACACAAATGTGCGGGGTTATTTTTAGTATGCGCGTCATTATGTGCGTTTAGATAGCTGGGAAGCTATGTAGGGGTAGTTAGGTTATGTGCCAGCAAAAAGAAAAAAGAAAAAAAAATCATGAATGTTTACACCCCGGCCACCACTTTCTTGTCGACTCTAAACTTTGAGCAAGAGCTTTCAATGAAGGCTGCCAATGCAAAGCAGTTTTTTCCGCGTGATTATAACCTGGCTACACAGTCAGGAACTCCCGAGATGTCTTGCTTTGGGATTCCTTGGAAGTTCCGCCTCTGGATGATACCGTAGAGTAAGCTTTCCGGAACTAAATGTGAAGCCTACTACTACTATCTGTTCAGGACACTCGATCACATGCGGCATATAGAAATCATGTTGCATGAGAAAGGCGGGGAGGACGCCGAGTCAAGCGGATGCCAGTATTCTAAATAAAGGGTATAAACTTGGAATATTACAACGAATGCCTGATTCAGCATCCTTACTCTATACTAGCCAGCTATCAGAACTTATTCTAATACTCGCAAGAAGTAAGAGGATATTCAAAGTTATTTATGTATTTAACGTAGCAAGAAGCCACAGCGGGAAAAAGCAATTAGGTCTTGGAAGGTCACATGACATACTTGGTTTTGTTCTGCTATTCCAAGCCCGAGCGAGGGGACACAGGATGCGCCAACCCTGGAAGCTGGACCTAGAAGTAAGCTCGATCCCGGGAAGAGTTCGTAGTTCGGGCCCGAATTGGAGTCGAGTTAGTTAGTGAAGGGACCGGCTGGAGATTCTTTTTGCCTGTGGGGTGGGAGCAAAGCCAACTTTGGTGGACACTTCCACCACCACCACCACCACCACAACCACCACCACCAACAGCAACAACAACAACAACAGCAACAATCTTGCAACTGTTTTGCAACACGCTAAAGAAAGCTACCATCTAGTATCATTCAAGTCAGGAATGGCCTTCATGCCATGCAGAAGCTCAGAACAAAATGCTTTGTTATCAAACTAAGAAATTCGGTTTCCTGACACGCAGGAAGGAGTACAATGTACAGTACATACATTTACATGTACATGTACATGTACATGTACCTCCCTTGCACCTTTCCATTTACCCGGCTAGTTAGATACTATTCAACCAGGAAATATATGGGTAGTGTTAAAAGTTAATATACTCGTCTTTTCCCTTTCCCCGGGGCGTTGACTCTGCTTCGTTTAAATACCCTACTATTGTTTCTGCTGCATGCTCAGGGTTACCTCGTCGTGCATTCAGCGTTGCAATAATGGTTTTTGTATAACCTTTCTCAAGAACCATTACACTGCAGGCCATGCTCCCCATATGAGACAATTGAGCTATCAAAATTAGCTAAACTTGTCATACGGGTTTACATTGTCAAAGAACTCTGCTGGAGCTCTGTTCTTCTATTTTCTATTTCCTATTTTCTATTTTCTTTCCTCTTTTTATTTCTTTTCTTGCCTCTTAACGGCCCATGAATTTTGCTATGGTCGATCATCTGCTACATCTTATCATTCGTTAACAAGGGAGAAATTAAAGAGGACAAGTGAACAAAGCTGGCTTTTTTGCCTTGTTCTGCTATCTTTGAGTGCCGACATTGTCATACTCCATTTTTCTACCGCTGCGAAACTCATTACGGGATGGCACTATTTTAATTTGCCCTCCGGACTCGCTCTCTTGAATGAGAGTCACGAAGAGTTGTTACAGATTAGACAGAGGTATATCCTTTTTGTTAGAGCTGTCCTTTTCATTCATGGTCAACATTGCCATCCCGTTATCCCTTCTACACACTCCTCACCATGTAAAACACCCTACGTGGTTCTGAAACGGCCTCAGAATACCCTCTGCTTGCCCATTTTAAACTACGGTTGTTTTTAATCAAGTGACTCATTGATTTAAGAGACTAACCTCCTGCAGCATTCACATTCCATCCTCCTTGCGGTTCCCCTCTCATTATCCTAGATATCTTCTTGCGAATTGCTCTCAATATTCTTGACCCGACTTAACTTATAGACACTGGGGCATAGAACTAGCTAGGTTCACTCTTTAAGAGTAAGTTTAACACCATATACGGAACAATTTGTACTTTCCCTACTAAAAAGCAAATCCAATTAGTTTCACTCTGTTTTACAATGTGCCGTTGGTCGACAGCCCTGTATACCTGCGGCCACCGCTCCCCGCCCGTGCGTGTGGAAGAAGAGACATGCGAAGACAGCGCAAATTGTACTTATGACGGCTCAGATGCAACTTTCAAAGTCTCATACAAGTGCCGGCTTTGCGATCCATGGGAGGGCCCCCCATCACAATATCCACCTGCAGCAGCACCAGTTGCACCATCACAAGCACCAGCACCAACACCAGCACCAGCACCAGGACAGGCACCGGCTATGGCAACAGCTCCAAAGTCAACAACTACAACAAGAACAAAATCAAGATCAGTAGCAAAAACCCCATCGCCGCGGAGGTCATCGAAACGGAGAAGAAGAATAGGGAAAGCGATCAAAAGGGGATTCAAGAAAACGGCCATATGCATCTGCCAAAGAAAATAAACTGGGAAGAAAGGAGGGTTGGAACATTAAGAGAACAAGCTCGCTCACGGGAAATAAAACCTTGCATGGCTGTTGAACAGCCAGTTCCAGGAGGGACTGTTTTCGATAAAAAACTATACCCACGGCCCTCTCGATTGTCCATTTTTGAAATGCAAAACGGAAAGGGCGTTTTACGGCTGCACAACACAACGATAATAATAAACAATACGGGAGTTTTGATGATATGGATTTAAATTTCTACGGGGTTGGGATCTGAGAGGAGGACTATAATAGCAGTGTTTACAGTTGACCCGCACAACGCCCTGGAAGATCAAGTGCTTCAAGCCATTTACTGGGATTGGGAGATATCATCCATGTGCTTTTGTCCTTTAGATGCAGACTGCGATTTAATTTCCTCGTCTTTACTCAGTCCACCGTTTGTCTGCGTGGTAATCTGCAAATTCTGGAAGGAGTAGGGGAGGGGGGGGGGAATGATGATGGATGGGTGGGTTGTTCATACAGCAAGCTCAAGGCGCCGGGATAAGTTAATTTTGGCAAGCCAGTTCTAATCATGCATGCATGCATGCATGGACTCTGGTGCTCTGGTGTTTTGTGTGAAAGGCGTTGTCTATGGACTTGTGTTTTTTTTTCCTTTTTCAGGGGGGTTCCTTTCTTCGCTTATTTTCCATCTTGCTACTGTGCATTGAATGTATCAAAATTGTCTTTTAGTCCATTTCATTGGGCAGAGGGTCGCTGGTGGCATTGTGATATTTTTTCCCCCGTTTTTCTTTTAATGGTTTCATTTAAGTGTGGCATTTCCTCTTTTCTTTATCCGATTAAGTCTGGTTGTCTGGGTTGACCGGGGGTGTACAGTACTGTGGAATATTCAAGCAGTTGACATCCTTTTATATCACTTCCTAAAGTTTGATTAGTTATGAATTTATTTACAAAATTTGCCCTATCTGCTGGTAAGAAGAGATCAGTCAATACATAGGTCCGAAACTGACACCGTCTCAGTGCACGACGGACAAATGAAATAAAAACTCCCATGAAAAAAAAGACCATTCATGAGGTGCAAAACGTAATATTGAGCAGCAAACAGAAATGGCAGACATTACGCATTACGATAAAACGTGAGGATTTGAAGGTCATTCAGGGCGCATTTCGTCAAAGAGCGTAAAAAGTTGAAAGAGAAAAAAAAAAGAAGAGAAAAAGAAGAGTGAAAGAGGTTGACGTTTGCCAATAATGGATGGAAACAACATCATAAAGATATTCACACGAAAAGAAGAGCACAGACAAAAAAATATAAAAATAAAAATAAAAAAAAGGAGAGACGTCAGAAATTAAATAAAAAGGAGAAACAAAGAAAACGGCCGCTTCATTTCCGGTTCAGAAACGAATTGACGATATGGAAAGAAAGAGAAGAATAAATGAGACAGGGGACGGAAAACAAAGGCAAATAGAGAGAGGCAAAATGTAATGTACCACAAGGGCATCATTGCTTTTTAAAAGAAAGCCCCTCCTACTTTCTTCCCCCCTACACCCCTTCGAGCATTAACCCCTTCTCGCTCATTCGCCTCCGCAGCCAATCTCCTCCAGTACTCCAATCCAGCATGGAACGCAACGCTAGGCCGTTGATACCCAACCTCCACAACCGGTCCTGTGGGCCCGGAATTCCGCGCCTGTGAAGAAGTAGGTTGTAGAGACGTGGAGTGCGAAAATCGCCCACGATTCGGTATCTCACCCAGCTTTGTGCTACCAGACGACACTGACGTTGAGGACGCCACTGCTGGGCATCCTCCAGCTCCTGCCCTCCCACGTGGTGGTTGCAGGTTTTGTGACAGGGGCACAAGAGGGGAGAGTGGTGGCATGTCCTTCCGAAGCACTCTTGAAATAGAAGGTGCTGCTGCTGCTGCCGTTCTTCTATTATCAGTACTTATGACCGTTGTGCGGATGGAGGAAGGTAGCTGTTGTCCCCGGTGGTCCCGCCCGCTGAATTGGAAGTCTCCCTCGTTATTTGGGGATCTCCTGTGTTGCTGGAGATGTGCAAAAGCCGGGTGGCCCTGATTATGCTCCATGTCGCATTGCTTTATCATATTTGGCAGCTTTTTTGGAGCTTGCTGTGCTGGGTGCTGGCTTGTAACCGCTGTTGTTGCCAGTGATATGGAGGACCCCTTTCTCGACCGAATCCACATTCCCCTGAACGCCTGGTTGCTGGACGCTATATTCGAAGCTGGTTTCAGCGGTGATCCTGCTACGTTCTTTTTGACTTGGGTTGTCGTCGTTGTGGGCCGTCTCGCAGCGCTTTGGGGTCGACATTTGTCTTCGGCTTTACTACTCTTCCCTGACCTCTGTCGGGACAACGATCTACTGCGTTGTCTCTCTTTCTGTCCCGCAGGTATCATTGCTGATTTAGGCGCTGGGGTGGATGCGCTTATGAGGCGCTGTCGGAGTTCATCGAGAGCAGTTATTGCATCTGCCGCCGCAGAATCGGAGAGAGAAAGTAAAGACCGTCGATCAACAGTTCCTGCACAGTTGTATCCCTGTCCATCACTGGACAGACACGATGCTATAAGTTTCATCAAACCAGCGTTCAGTATTAATAATGTATGGGCAAGAGAGCCGTGAGCAAGCTCTAGGCAAAATTAGATGTTAGCATATGAAAACTGACAATAACTTCAGATATATACCGATCAGAAAAACAAAAATGGAATTATGTACCATCTCCCTTTTTGAAGCGTTCCCCTAATCTTTGCACGCTTTGATCATACTCCCTCTTGATTTCAGCAGGTCCCCTTTCCAATGATGCCTGGATTCGCAGATCATCGATATCTTCGCTTCGAACGGGAACCGCCGCATCATTTGTATTCCTTCGCTTTTTCTTTCGGGAGCCGTGGGTTCTTAGATTTCGCTTGGATTTATCCGTTCCCGTTCTTTTGAGATCCTTCTTTTGCTGGACGCGATTGAAGAGGTCCCTCCCATTCCCAAAGGCAGCCAGGATCGAAGTCACAACCGTGGATATGTCCATATTTGTGATGTTGTATCCTCTTCGTTGGATATCCCCTATATATTTATATCCCTCCACCGCGCGAGGTCGGTCGACGAAGTAAAGTAGAAAGCGGAATTCCGCAGGAAGAATATAAACATCAGTTTAAGAAACGAGAGTCAGAGCCACCACTCGACGGACAAGGAATAGCAAGTGATGCCAAAACCAACCTTCCTACACATAGGAAAAGAGAAGGCAAAGGAAAAGCAATGGGGAGCAATTGGCTCTTCAAACAGGGCTACAAATCCACGGCTCTCAGAAATTGGAAGCTGTCGAGGAGAAAAGCGAACAACCACGGGGCAAATTCCATTGAAGCAGAGTCGTTGGAACGAAGCCTTACTCCCTCCCTCCAACAGCCCTCTAGTGGCCTTCGTGTTAAATAGAGTCTGGCGCTTCGAGCATGGTCTCCTCCTCCTCACCCCTGCCGTGCCGTGCTTAAGTGCGCGCGCTGGTGCTGCAGCCCAGTCCAGTTAGATTCTGCAGGCCACGACTGTCTTCCCATGACCCGACGCCACGTTCCGCGAGCAGTCGGCCAGTCAGGATCAAAAAGAGCCGTTTGGCGAACGGATTTTTTGAGGCGATCCGACCCATACCTATTTGAAGGGAACGCTCGCACACCCTCGGCTTGTTGGAAGAAGTTAAACCGGAATATGTTCCAAATGGTCGGTTATCCTCTTTCCTTGTGCTCTTGTGCGTTGCAAGATTAAAGGATATTCGTGGATGATTGTGGGGGAAAAGGTAGCTAGAATGTTGAATATTATGCGAAGATGAGTGGTTGGTGTGTGGATGTGTGGATGTTTCTTGTCTGCTTCCCTTCCAATGAGCAGCCGTTGAACATGTTTCCTCTCACCATTTGTGCCGCAGAAGATAGCTTTCATCTCGACTCAGAAGAGTAACTTATTATTTATTTAGGCGACTTGTAAAACCCGCTAGAGTCGGGCGCAAACCCATCTGCGTGTAAATATTTCAGTCAGGGTCGAAAATGCCTAGTTAGTTACCTTTCAAAAAAAAAAAAAAAAAAAAAAAAAAAAAAGAAGAAAACATTTCCAACCCATTCACAGGCCTCCGGTACCTACGTTAATGCTTTAATGCTCTCTGCCCTCGCGCATCCATCCCTCTCCACCGCAGAAATAGACAAGGAATTGATGAATAAATCTTTCCCCGGAATCTTGGTGACGGCCCTGTTGGCTCTTACTTATGAAACATAAGAACTAATACCTTTTTTTTGAGGAAAGTTTTCCGATGTATGGGGAACCAACCAGACGAACATTGCTCTCTTGTACATGTACATACATACTTGCAGTATGTAACTAACTATATGAGGCATGCAATCAGGTTCCAGCGATTGATGCCCCGACAAACACCAACCCCAAAGACAAATAAGGGGAGGCTTGTATATTCGGAGAAAGAACTCAAAGAGCTCCTACACAAAAATATGTCTATATATGTATATCGGTGGAAGAATCAAGGCTCGATGAGATTCCTACTATGATCCCCCATGTCTGTCTGCATTCCCCTCATTCTATCCGCCACACCTCTCCTCGTTTCCTTTTAAATAAAAACAGGTTGCCAGTTGAACATAAAGAAATATATAATAAGAAAACCAGTAATGGCAGGGAATAAAATAATAATTGACAACACATTGGCATGAACTTCAGGTAAAAGATGTATATGGACTGGTGAAACGAAGAACCCCCACTGAGACCGCGCTGGCAAGAAAAAGAGAAGCAAAGGCCCTGTTTTTGTTCATTTAGATATTAAATAAATAAATAGTAATGAAATATGAAACATGAAACAAGAACACACACACACTCACTCACTCACTCACTCACACATACAAAATTATAGACAGGGAATTTGAATTAAAAGAAATTGTGGAATCCACCACATCCCATATACGATTAGCCAGTAAATAACTGACGCAAAATAGGGGAACGGAAAAATACAAAACTAATCCGTCACCTTAAACACCTCACCTGCTCCTTTTCCCATTTTCCCCGCGGCATCATCACCACCACCACCACCACCCTGAACAATAAGAACCCTCAACTCCCCATCCATCCAATCCACCGTACTAACCTTGCCCAGCGCAACCATCCACTCCGCATCCGTCTGCACATCCACCAGCCCTTCCTCCAACCATACTTTGACGGGTAAAGTCGGCTCCTCAACAAGGGCCGCAGCAGCCTGCTGCGCGTGCAGGGACTGGTGGCCGTTCTGATGCTGTTGCTGGAACTGGATGTGGTGCTCGCGTGCCTTTTGGAGCAGGCTGGCTAGATCAGGGCACTGGTCGGCGGAAATGTCGAGGCGGGGGATGAGGCGTTTGGTGCCCTTGGTGCTGGGGTTAGTGGTGTTGATGTGGATGGTTATTTGGTGGGCTGGGATTTGCGGGGCCGTTGTGGTGGTCGTTGTTGAGGTCGCGGGTGATGTTGAGGGTGGTGAGGGTTGTTGCTGTTGTTGCTGTTGTTGTTGCTGTTGCTGGTTGAGGATCGTATCACGGATGAGATGGGTCACGTCGCGAGTTATTCCCGTCGCACTGTCGGTAGAAGAGTTAGCAAAGGTCCTTACCATGTCTTATAGGTGTAGTAGAAATCATAAGGGGTAACAGTAACAAAAAAAAAACAGAAGTATAGAAACTCACAAGTAATTCCTCGCCGCCAAATCTTCCGTCTGTAACGGGCCACCCGCACTTCCCATCCCCACCCTCCATCCAGCCTGCGACACACTATCCGACGAAACAATATGATTGATAGTACATTCCTCACAATCTCTACTACAATCTGAGGCATTTCCCGAGTGGTAAATCTGATAATGGCTGTCAATCGCAGCAACAAGACCCCACCAATCCGCCTGTTGCAGACCGGATATGGAACCCAGGTTATCCAACCGGTAATCTATATTGTAATTATCATAGGACCGCGCGATCGACTCCCAATCAGTTGGATACCCTTCAGTTAACAGGTCCAGTAACCCCAGCTCCATCTCCGAACCGCCATGGTGTTGCTGCTGTTGCTGCTGTTGATGCTGTTGATGCTGCTGCTGCTGCTGTGACGCGAACCCACGTTCCGGCGTGAGAGTCGAAATGCCCTCCCCCATCTGCCTCCTCTTCTTCTTTTCCTCCGCACCCGCCCCACCCTTCCTCGTCTCAATCGCATACTGCCTCTGCCGCTCATTCGTAACCATCCGCCGAAGCAACGGCATAACGAGCGAAATAATCCTCTGCTCATCCCTCGGCCAAACCAACGGCGGCCTTGACTCCACGCCAACACCCAACCCCATCCCCATTCCGACCCCCATCATCCCAGCTCCACCACCACCACCAGCAGTACCAGAACCATGACCCCCCATCCCAACCCCAACCCCTTCCCCAAAAAATCGCTCCCCATTCCCCTCCCTATCCAAAAACTCCCTCACACAATTCCACAGCCGTAGCTTAACCATCTCCGTATCCCCCTTCCCCCTCTGACCCACACAATCGCGTCTCTCCGGATGTGCCGGGTCAAGCATATATGCCTTCGCCGCGGCCTGCAGGTGCAAGAAGTTCTCCGGCGACAGGCCCAGCGAGGAGAACATCTTCGACATGGGCGGGCGCGTGTATTTCTTGCTGGTGGCGGAGGGTTGGCGGAAGAGGGCGGCGGCGGAATGGACCCCCGCTGCGCGCGCGTCAGATAACGCTTGTTGCGGTGGTAGCTCGCGGATATCGAGACCGTGGCTGTGGCCGTGGCCGCCTCCGTTCCGATTTCCGTCCGTGATCATGTGGTGGTCGTCCTCGGTTCCTGCACCGGCACCAGTAGCACCAGCAGCACCACTGTTCGCAACAGCAGCAGAGCCATCATCATACTCCCCCTCCGCCGCCACGCCACCAGTCATAGCCGGATCGACGTTGGCAGCAGTAGTTCCCGCCCGCTTCCGTTTCCTAGGCAGGGCCGTCTCGACCCTACCAACATTCGCATGGCGCATCTGTCTCGTCGCCGCCGCAGCAGTAGCAGCTGCGGCAGTAGTTGTCGACACACCAACCACAGACCCATTCCCATGTCCCGTTCCATGCCCTGCCCCCGCCCCCGTCCCAGCAGACATCCCGCTAAAATGCACCTGCCCATTCCCCGTCGGGTCGCCCACGAACCCATCATCCAAATGTAACGCCCCACCCGCGCCACCAGGCACAGCATTGGAGCCCGGATACCCGTCGAGATGGTTCTGCAGCGCGCGCCCATGGCCCATCATGCTCGCATCTCCGTCCTCATTCTGCGCCCAGCTGACATCCTGTCCCGCGGCGGCAGTGGCGGCCTCTACAAGGCCTGCCAGGTGATTATCGGCAGCATAGCCGGCAGCGGCACTGGCGGCGACGGCTAGGCTGTGTTGTTGCTGTTGCTGCTGTGCGCTGTTTGAGAGGTGGTGATGGGGGGGTGGGAAGTCGGGGTTCGAGGGTTGGGATTGTTGTGGTTGTTGCTGTTGCTGTTGCTGTTGCTGTTGCTGATGCTGAGAGGTTGAAGTCATATCTGGAAGCCTTTCGAGTATCCAATTATTTTTGCAGCGCGTAAAGCGGGGAAGATGGGATAAGATAGCTAGAGCTATAGACAGCAGCAGATGAGGTTACTTTATTCTAAAAAGTACTTTTTAGTCAAAAGATACCGTGGCTCCGCGACGGTTGCGGAGAAGGAATAGAACTCACCTGGTTATATTGTTAACCGCACAACCCAAATTCGCAACGTCCGTGGCCCCGTTCAACAAGCCTCACAAGAGCTCAAAATCTTCCCAAAGCGCATTGCAGGCGCAAAAAGTGTAATTCAGTTATCTATTCTTCCCTCTCCTACGTACCCCCAGTTTATGTATGTATATACCTCCAAACCGAATCCGTTTAGTTTGAGTTATTCAATTGGAATATCAAAAACTGCAACTCCCACGATCTTTTTCCGTGTCGAGCGGGGAGGCGTCAAAGCAAATTCGAACAGTGGCGAGATGGGCCAAACGCGTAAAATAAT